TATAGTCTTTCCGAAGTCAGTTGAACATGTATAAAAACGCTTAGCAATAAAATTTAATTAGTTTCATAGGCGTCCCTAAAACACTTTTCTGCTAAACGTAAAAAATTATAATAATTTGTATATAATGTGTAGAAAATTTCGATATATGTTCATTTGATCAACAACATATTTTAATTATTTATGTCCTCAAACAATTTTATGTATTATATTGATGGTAAATTTCTTTTTGTTCCGTTTAAAGAGGTCTCCAAAATCCCATGTAGTAATAATAATAGTAAACAAAACATCCCTCTTATTTCTGCTTTTCGCAATTGTAATATGAATGATTAATAGGAGGATTAAAAGGTGCCTATAGGCTAAATTAAAATTACCTGAATCACACCAAATTCCGCAATGCTGCACTGTACTGCTAGTCCATTTGTTGATAATTGAATTTATGACCAGGTCGACCAGTGCGGCTGTGTTTGTGCCGCGTTTGCCCGCGTGCTCATTCTTCAACTGGGAGACCAGACCTATATATGTGTATGGCTAGATAAATATGGGAACAGGTTTTTCAAATCAAGTCCGAGTTGCTGCGTCAGCGACCGAAGCTGGTACATACTGCCAACCTCTTGGTTCTTCAATTGAGATCGGAAAGACAACATATTGATGTTTTGTTTTATTACAGTTAAATATTTCTTTAGTTCCTTCTGTTCTATTCGATTCAAAAATACAAATCGATTCGAGTCGATATACAATTTTTTCCACGTCTGACTGTCAATTCAAATAAATTTAAGTCGACAATTATATGTTTCGATTCATTTTAGTTCGATTCGAATTGATCAACCATTCGATATTTCGATTTGATTTTTCCGATAGATCAATTCGAATCGATATATCGATTTATTGCATAGGATTAGTCGATTCGATTCGATTCAATTAAAATTATACAATTTAATACGAATTCGATACGAATCGATTTTTTGACTAATCGAAAATAAATTCGTTGTTTCGCGAATTGCACAGGCCTAATCAATACATTCATGCGATGGAATAACCTGACCTAATGCCCATTCCTTGGTCCGCAGAATTCCTTACATTCCCAATGTTTTTCACATGATTCCCGACTACACGGACGCTGCATATTTGAACAATAAAAACTATAATAGGTATGTTCTTGGTTCATAGAAACTTTTTTAAATGACCCATTTTGCAAGAATCTCATCTATTTATCATCGCATCGGAAACATTTTCCGACGTATCCGCGTACTTTATCTACGTGTATATATCCCAAACTCTCCTTTTTCGAGTTAGCCTTGAACTGGAAGGCGACAGCCACAACGCGGCCTTTTATTAGACGCAAAACTACCACCGTGCATCTCTCAAAGCTTTTTAATTAAACAAGCAGAACCCGAAACCTTATAATGCACACAAAGGATTCCGTCTTCCGCTAACGCCTTCCCCTTTTATTGCTAGTCATAAACAACCCTTAATTTGTTGTATAATTAAAACACCCCCTAGTACCTCACATACACGAAACCATATAAATTACTTGAGAGGAGTACATTGGACCAGCCATAAATCTGGCGAATGACTGGAATATGTACACTTCACGCGGAAATATAACACCTGATTCAGTCTCCATGGTTACACATGTAGAATCTTAGCCAGGAAACAGAAAAAGGTGGGATGAAAGACGCTGTAAATCACGATAAGGGTAGGCCGAATGTTTAGTCAGCGGTAGGAGATCTTATTCAATTTTTTTTACGGAATCGTGCCGGGCGATTCACATTTTATAAAAAAAATGGCTGGCCGGTGGATTCATAAAAGTAAAAGCGTAAAAAAGAAATAAAGTAAGACTTTTCGAAAATTATATGAAAATAATTTATCTACACACTACTGGGGTTTGAACTATCCCAAATATTCACGCAAGATTTGAATTTTGCCAACGAAAAAAAAACTGACATTTTTTCAGCAATTATTATTGAGTAATATTTTAAAAATAATGAAGTTTTGGCACCTACAGGAAACTTGAATTTTGCACTGAAAATCAAATATTTAGATCAAATGAGCAGATAGTTTTAAATGGAATTATTTGCCGTAAATGTTATTTTATCGTATTGACTTTCGTCAAACTCTGTGAAATATTTGCTGTAATCTATAATTTTCCTTAGAATTTATATTATTTGTAAATACAGGGTGGCCAAATGAAAACGAAACAGAGCCATTTTCAGGAACTGCGTCAAAAAAAGAAAAACGCTCAGACCCGTCGATTTTAGATTAAAGGGGGACATTCTTTGCTAGTATTTTTGACTCCGCCATTTTCAGCCCCAGGCATCACCCCAAAATATTTAAATGGCATCGGGGGTTGAGTAATATTTCTTTTGAAAGCTCTTACAATTCTCTTTACAACATAAGTACTTTAAATTTTATAATTCCGCCCAATACTTCGAAAAAAATTTACATTTTAAAATTTAAATTATGTTTAGTTGCTTACTTACTACTTAGTTGATTAAATGTTCAAACTGATGACCGCCCGCTTCCATACAAGAATACAGGTTTTGTTCGAAACGTTCGTGCACATTCCGAAGCATTTCCGGAGTGATTCGACGGCATTCGTCGACGATTCTTTAACGCAAATCTTCCAGCGACGCTGGCTGTGTTTTATAGATTTTGCTTTATAGGTATCCCCACAAAAAGATCTCAAGGGGCGATAAATCCGGTGATCGTGGACGCCACTCAATGCTGCCTCTTCTCCCAATCCAATTCCGTAGAAAACGTTGGTCCAAATACTGACGGACAATTAACACATAATGCAGAGGAGCACCCTCCTGTTGAAAAATCAAATGATATTCATCATACCCTGGAACATTTTCAATAATATCAGTCAAGGCAGGGTCAATAGCGTCTTCCAGTAATTGCAAATACATTTGGCCAGTCAAATTACCAGGTAGAAAAAAAGGACCGACCAGCCAGTCATCGAAAATTCCAGCCCATACATTTAATTTTTCCGGTTGCTGTGTATGCACCTCGTGAAAAACTCTTGGGTTTGAATCGGACCAATAGCGGCAATTGTGACGATTTACCGTCCCGTAGAAGAAAAAACTGCATTCATCAGAAAAACAGATGCTAAAAAGCAACTGTTGATCGTTCCCTGGTCGCTCACCCATATTTCGCAAAATTGCAAACCCGGTCATAATCATCCTCATGAAGTTCCTGGACTAAATGTATTTTGTATGGATGGAATTTATTCTTCTTCAAAATGGTTTGTATGCTAGTTCGATTGATCCCAGGCACAGATGCCAGCTGCCTCGTACTTAATGTAGGATCAAGATGAACTTGTCCCAAAACTGCAACTTCACTAGATTCATTAACTATAGGTTTTTCAATTTCTCGTTTTTTATTGGTTACGTTCCCTATCCCTTGAAATTTTTTTACTAACTCTAAAACATACTTCCTCCTGACATGTCGATCTTGATGTTGTTCATTAAATTGCTGAGCTGTTCTATTCGCACATTTATTGTTCATAAAGTAAAGCGAAATGATATCTACCCTTTCCGCAGTGGAATAAACCATAGTGTTTAATTTTCAAAAACACAATTAAATAAACTACCAATCAACGCTTCCAAATATTACTAGAAAATAATTTGAAATCCACTAATTTTACGTTCATTGTGTGTGTATAGCAAATTTCTGTTTTTTTTACAATTGTGTTTTTTTACGAAAGTGATAACAAATCGCCAAAAACCAAAGTAACGCAAGAAATACTAAATTTATACCATTGGCGTACTTAACTCGATTAACTGACATTTTTACCGTTACTAATTGTTTGTACATAAGTTTCAACTTTAAAATCAAAATTCTTAATAAGTATTGGGCGGAATTAAAAAATTGAAAGTCTGTTGTAAAGAGAATTGTAAGAGCTTTCAAAAGAAATATTACCTACTCAACCCTCAATGCCATTTACATATTTTGGGGTGATGCTTACCCTTGCTTGGGGGTGAAAGTGGCGGAGTCAAAAATACCAGCAAAGAATGTCCCCCCTTTAATCTAAAATCGACGGGTCTAAGCGTTTTTCTACAATCTTGACGCAGTTCCTGAAAATGCCTCTGTTTCGTTTTCATTTGGCCACCCTGTATATATAATTTAATTCAAATCTTTTATAGTTTGGAATTTATTATCTCGGACTTTAGCTATTCTGTTACAGTTCATCATAAACTACAAACATATTTGTTTCAGAACTACCAATTCCCTAAAATTTAAGTATATATATTTAAAATTTACTATTAATGTAGGAACTATTCAACACAAATGTAGCATATTATAATCAAATTTTTGTTTTCTTGAAAGAAAAAATAAAATAAGTACCTATATACGATCATTTGACCAGAACTATTCAATTAAACTACTTAAACTTAAATTGTATTAAACAAACGATACATTAATATACAATACAAATTGTTTGTATAAAATTTGTTTAACCGTAAGTATGAAATATTTATTTTAAATGCTGCCTATTCTTAAAGTAAGAAATTATATTTCAGGGTAGACATTTAAAGTACCCAAATAAATTAATAATTTTCTTGAAAAAAGAAAATATTTCTTAATAATTTTCTTGAAAAAAGAAAATATTTCTTGCGTATATATAAACGTACGATACCTTAAAATCAAATGTTGTACATTTGAATCACTGCGTGTGGGACACCGATATAAGAATATGTCACTTTTCTACATTTTACACTTGCACACCCACAATATCCTTGATTTTTCCTTTATAGCATTCACTTTTATGTTATTCATTCCGAAGCAGTACAAAGTATACGGCAGGATAACTTCAATCTTTACATGTATTCCCCAGTAATGCCCCTGTAACGTATCTAGAAAGAAGTGATATAAAAAAACGAAGCTGTATTGAAACCACATTTAAATATCTCCATTCGGCAACCGTCGAAAACGTATCGAATCACGGAAAAAACACCGCTCGTTTCTCGCTTCATAATTCTCTTTCTCTTTACAGAAATTGCCATGCTGCTGCCGGGGTCCCTCTCTCACAGCAGGACGGCCAACCAGACCAGCGACATCAGGAAGAATCTACGCGTCAGGGACCCATCCGAAAATCCGCAATACGATCCAGAAAAAACGTAAGTGCCACTCTGTTGCCTTCATATCTGTGAGTGTTTTATTTATTCAGTCGGTATTTCCCCCCACGAGATCACCTTTATGCAAATATACGAACCGCAATGGCTGTATATTCTTATTCGGACGCTATCGGATATAGATTACAAAAGTATGGTTTTCACTAGTTTGCGGCACGCATAGAGCCTTGTTTTCTTAATGATTTTCAATTAATTCAGTGCTCTATTTGTTTTTTGGAGGTTTCCTGCTTCAGGTGCCCCTCAGGGCTCTGATAAAGGACCTAACTTCTAGTTATATTCGTAAATGATACTAGATAGTATTTTATTGTTCATTTCTGGAATGGAATACATACGTTAAGTTACTTTGAAATAAAAATCATTTTTGATTTAGCATTTAAAGTACCTACTTAGCTAATGTAGGTAATGTATTTTAGTGCACTAGTGCACTGACAGTTATTTGTGTGCTAAAGTAACACAGACTTTTTGAATTAAAGATCGCATTTTAAAATGCCTTTTTGGAGACAGTAATTTATACAATAAGTGTGTTAAGTTCCAAATCTTTCAATAAAAATTACTTCTCAATTTAACTTTTAAGGTACTTAGCTAATGTACACTAGCGCATTAATAGTTATTTATGCGGTAAATCTATAAACTCACTTACTGTGTAGTGTGTAAATTAACAATTATTGAACTATACGTATATTTCTTTAATTTATTTTATGTTTTATTTCATTAGTTATGCAGTAAACGTGTAAAGTAATACAGACTTTTTCAGATCACTTTTATAATCCCCATTTTAAAGGACTTAGCTAATGTTTTAATTGTTATACACTAATGCATTAATTTATGCGATAAGTGTGAATGAAAAACGATACTTTCTAGTTTAACTTTTAAGGTATTTAGTTGTTTTATTACACTACACAGCAATAGTTATTTATAAAGTAATCCATACTCTTTGAATTAAAGATTACATTTTCATTGCCCCTTTCAAGTGTCTAGCTAATGTTTCATTGTGCAATAATTTATACAATAGGTTACACAAAAGTTACACTTTTCGAATTAAAAATTACTTTCTTAATTCAACTAATAAAGTATTTAGCTAATGTCTTATTACACTAGTGCGCTATTAGGTATGTATGCAGGCATGTGTAATACATATGTAAAATAACACAGGCATTTTGAGTTAGATCACCTTCATTAGATTTTTAAATTACTTAGTGTAATACACTAGTGCAATATGCAATATGCAATATGCAGTAAAGGAGTGAAATCACACATTGTATAATACAAATTACTTTCTTAATTTAACTTAGGTACTTAACTAATGTTTTATTACACTAGTGTACTTATGTACATTTTGAATTAAAGATCACTTATTTAAGTTGCCTTTTAAATTGCCTAGCTAACACTTTAATTGTGATGCACTAGTGCGCTATATTATGCAATCAATATGTGTGTAAAATTATTATTCTGAAATAAGAATTAGTTTCTTAATTTAACTTCTAAAGTAGGTACTTAGCTAATGTTTCATTACACTAGTTATTTAAGCAGTAAATTGAATGCACTAATTTATGCAATAATAACATTACCGACCTTTTTTTTTTACTTTTAAGGTACTTAGTTGATGTTTTAGTACACTATTGCAATAATATTTATTTATATGGTATGTAAAGTAACCCAGACTCTTTGAATTAAAGATTGCTTTTTCATTAGCCTTGTAAAATGTCTAGCTAATGTCTAATTATAATACACTAGTGCAATAACTTATACAATAAGAGTAAAGTAGCACTTTTCGAAATAAAAGTTACTTTCTTAATTCAATTTATAATGTATTTAGCTAATGTTTTGTTACACTAGTGCGCTAATAGGTATTTATGCAGTGCGTGTATAATACGTGCGTAAAGTAAGAGACTTTTTGATTTAAAGATTACTTTAATTTGATTTTTAAATTATTTAGTTAAAGTTTTAATAATTATAATACACTGGTGCACTAATATGTATACAATAAATGTGTCAAGTTATACATTTTCTTTTAAGAATTACGTTTTTAATTTAACTTACTTAGCTAATTACACTAGTGTACTAATTGGTATTTACGAAGACATTTTGAATTAAAGATCACTTTAACTAATATTTTAATTGTGATGTGTCCATTAAATTGCAATATGTGTGTAAAATTATTATTTTGAAATAAAAATTTAACTGTTATAGTAAGTAGGTACTTAGTTAATGTTTAGTTACACTAGTGCATTAATAGTTATTTAAGCAGTAGCTGTGTAAAATAATACCAACTTAATGCACTACTTTAAGCTAACTAACATTACCTTTTTATTTTAACTTTTAAGGTACTTAGCTAATGTGTTATTACACTAGTGTACTATAAATAAATTATTTACGCAAAAAGTGCAAAGGAACCTTTTTCCAAATAAGAATAAGAATAGTTTTATAATTTACTTTTTCAAGGACTTAGCTCATGTTTTAAAACACTAATGCACTAGTGCACTATTTGCTTCTCGCTTTTCGATATGGGAAACTTTTGCATGCGTCTTGTAAACAAAGGCCTTGTCAGTTTGCCGGATCAATTACTCGTCCCAGCTGATTCCCATATTTCTCCCGTATCTTGACTGGCGTCGGACGTATTTTTTTTTAATAATTTGCCGCTTTGTATTTATTCCCGACGCAGGGGCGATATATATTTTTTATTATTTACAGCAGAACGTCCCGAGAGGTAATATAAAATAATACACCCCGAAACGCGAGCGTTAAGAAAATTTTGGCGGGGGAATATTAAACGCGCATAATTTTACCCCGATGCCTCTTCTACCGGCCGGTTTAGGCGGAAATTTATCGTTCTGGTTTTGAAATATTTACGACTGGGTTCTCGATACTGAATTTATGGGTGTTGATGAATGTTACAAGCGCTGCAAACAGTATTTAAAATTTATTTTTGTGACGGCTACCTGTCGTGTTTTTATATTGGTAGTCCAAGAGAATTAAGCTCAAAACCTTCGAGATATGGCTGTTGCTTGACGTAGATTAGATATTATTATTATGCATTATGCATAGTTTTGCAGCTAACGCTTGTTGACTTTGACACTTGATATCTCGGAACTTATCTGACCGATTTGAACGTTCTTTTTTTCAAGTTAAGCGTCTTTCCGAGAACTATTTTTTAGTACTTTGGTATATATTCCAACCCGCAAAACCGCTTCACGAAAGTATTTGTTTATAAAGTCAAAATTTTTCGAATTTTTAAAATCGCCCAAAAAATTATTAAAAAAAAAATAATATTATAACGATTCTATGTGATAGTTAGAGTCCAAGTATGTGTAAAAAAAATCAGCGCCAATTAAAATGCCTAACTTTAACACCAGCACTGACGCAAAAAATTAACGACATTTTGCGCTGAAATTTAGTAACAAATTGTCTCATACCAAAACTATCAGACCGATTTCGATCGGGTTTTGGAAATTTGTTTTGTAATCCTTTAAAGTACTTACATCTACATTTATAGTAGAATTGGACAATTTCTTACCTATCAGTTGAACGCTTCAAAATTACCTCGATTTTCATCACTTTCTTACGCTGTTTTGGCTATCTGGCAACAAAAATATGAAATGCGCAGATATCAAAACAATTCTGTCTTATAGCAAATTTAATAACAAACAATTCCATCAGTAATAGTTTTTTCTGTCAACTGCATGTTTAAGATGTGATATTGGAAAATGTTAGAAAAAACACGTGATTTTTGAGTAGCAGTTTTTAATTTTTTCTGCAAATAGCACAACTTTTCTGGCGCAACCTTATATTTTCATTGTTTATATTATTTTCGACTGATTTTTACTAATACCTAAACTACGTCAAGCAACAGCCATGCCAATGTGTAATTCTCCTGGACAGTTTCCAAAAGTATCGATCGTTAAAAAAATCTGAAGGAAACAATGTAGTGGCAAGGGTGCTCAGGACGCCCTGTATATTTATGCAAAAAGCAAGCAGATATTCGTGTTTATAACACAAAAACCTACTCTTCCAAAATTTGAGTAAAAGTACCCAAATAATAAATGAATTGTCGTAAAAAAGTGAAATAAAAGAACTACTTTGTCGGGCCTATAACTTCTCAAGGAAGCAAGTAAGTTGATTTAACCTTATTTTCATCCAAGGAAGTTAATCTTAATGTATAGCCCATTCTTTAGTAAACACCCTGTATAATTAGAATTGGAAAAATTGACTTCGTAGAAATGGGACACCCTTCTATTTATTTTTTAATGATTTGAAGGAAACGCTCGATCAAGATTAATAAGAGGTTGAATCCTCCCTCTAAATTGAATGTTTTCCTAGAACGACAGCGGCCATATCCTTCAAGTGCAGACANCTACCGGCCGGTTTAGGCGGAAATTTATCGTTCTGGTTTTGAAATATTTACGACTGGGTTCTCGATACTGAATTTATGGGTGTTGATGAATGTTACAAGCGCTGCAAACAGTGTTTAAAATTTATTTTTGTGACGGCTACCTGTCGTGTTTTTATATTGGAAGTACTTTGAGATAATAAACAATTTGTTGTTCTAGAAACGATGCATACCTTTTTAAAAGCAAATCGAATGCTGATTTAAAATCACTAATCAGTTTCCAAAAATATCGATCGTTAAAAAAAATCTGAAGGAAACAATGTAGTTGCAAGGGAGCTCAGAACGCCCTGTATATTTGTAGCAAAAACCAAGCAGGTGTTCGTGTATACAACACAAAAAACCTACTCTTCCAAAATTTGAGTAAAAGTGCCCAAATAAGAATGAATTGTCGTAAAAAAAGTGAAATAAAAAAACTACTTTGGCGGGACTATAACTTCTTAAGGAAGCAAGATGGCAAGTTGATTTAAGCATAGTTTCATCCAAGGAAGTTAATCTTAATGTATCTTCTTATATTCTTTAGTAAACACTTTGTATAATTAGAACTGGACTTTGTAGAAATGGGATACCCTTCCATTTATTTTTTAATGATTTGATTGAA